AGGGCAGTGCCACGCAGCTGATCCCCAGCTCAGCTGTGCAGCGCTGCCCCTTTGAAACGCCAAGGCAGTGTTTCAAAGGGCAGCGCCACCTGGCGCCCCAGGATCAGCTGGGGCCTCCCCAGATGACCCCGGGCGCCGCGTGGCATTTCAAATTGGCAGCGCAACATGGAGCCCAGGATCAGCGGGGGGACGCCAAGCTCCATCAGTCTCATAAAATGAGGAATGTATGGCTTCCAAAAGAGCACATCTGCGCTTTCCAGAAAATTTTTTGGAAGAGCTGACATGTTCCCTGGATCTCCGGTATCCCGGAAAAATCTCCGTAGTTTAGACATAACCTAAGTCTACTTCAGCAAAACCAACAAGGAGTCTGGAGGCACTTTAAAAAATAAAAAATACCCTAATAAATCTGTTAGTCTTTAAAGTTCCACAGGACTCCTTGTCGCTTTTGCAGACAGACTAACACGGCTACCCCTCTGACGCATGATTTTTAATGTAAATGTTGAGGTCTGATACATGGTATTTTCAAATTATATGACTTCATATGTACAGCAAAGACATTTAGTGCTACCAGACTATTTGTTGTTGTTGAAGTTTATAAACAAGATTGTGACGTCTGCAGAGGCTCAAACGCCCTCTTGAGTTAGAACGACCCCGCTGCTGCAGGGCTGGGAGCCAGAATGAGGCAGGGCTGGGATGGCCATACTGGGTCCGACCAAAGATCCATCTAGCCCAGTATCCTGTCTTCCGACAGTGGCCAGGACCAGGTGCCCCAGAGGGGGGGGACCAAAGACAATGATCAAGCAATTTGTCTCCTGCCATCCGTCTCCAGCCTTTGACAAACAGAGGCCAGGTGCACCATTCCTTACCCCCTGGCTAATAGCCTTTTATGGACCTAACCTCCATGAAATTATCTAGCTTCTCTTTAAACTCTGTTATAGTCCTAGCCTTCACAGCCTCCTCCGGCAAGGAGTGCCACAGGTTGACTACACGCTGTGTGAAGAAGAACTTTCTTTTATTAGTTTTAAACCTGCTACCCATTCATTTCATTTGGTGTCCTCTAGTTCTTCTATTATGGGAACTAATAAATAATTTTTCTGTATCGGCCCTCTCCACACCACTCATGATTTTATAGACCTCTATCATATCCGCCCTCAGTCTCCTCTTTTCTAAACTGAAAAGTCCCAGTCGCTTTAACTTAACCTCTCTTCATATGGGACCCGTTCCAAACCCCTAATCATTTTAGTTGCTCTTTTCTAATGCCAAAATATCTTTTTTGAGGTGAGGAGACCACATCTGTACACAATATTCAAGATGTGGGCGTACTATAGTTTTATATAGGGACAGTAAGGTATTCTTAGCCTTATTTTCTATCCCTTTGTTTAAATAATTCCTAGCATCCTATTTGCTTTTTTGACTGCCACTGCACACTGTGTGGACGTTTTCAGAGAACTATCCACAATCTCTTTCCTGATTAGTGGTAGCTAAATTAGCCCCCATCATATTGTATGTGTCGTTGGGGTTATTTTTTCCAATGTGCATTACTTTACACACTCCAAGATCTCTTTCCTGATTAGTTGTAGCTAAATTAGCCCCCATCATATTGTATGTGTCGTTGGGGTTATTTTTTCCAATGTGCATTACTTTACACTTATCCACATTAAATTTCATTTGCCATTTTGTTGCCCAATCACTCAGTTTGGTGAGATCTTTTTGAAGTTCTTCACAGTCTGCTTTGGTCTTTGACGATCTTGAACGGTTTAGTATCACCCGCAAACTTTACCACGTCACTGCTTACCCCTTTCTCTAGATCACCACTGACTGTGTAGGCTCCAGCAAGAGAGTGGGATGCAGAAGGTCCCCCCTCCCGCCAAAGCAAGGCTGCCCTCCTATCTCCTTTCTCAGCCCCCAGCCTCACCTACGTGCTCGGCCTCGGGTCCCTGAGCCTCACTTCTCCCAGGGACTTTTCACTTGACTGGCCAACAGGCTCCTCATCTACTTGCTTCCCCAGACCCCTCCCCCCATCCGCCCTAGCCCACTGTCTCAGCGCCAGGCAGGTCCCCCCTCCCGCCAAAGCAAGGCTGCCCTCCTATCTCCTTTCTCAGCCCCCAGCCTCACCTACGTGCTCGGCCTCGGGTCCCTGAGCCTCACTTCTCCCAGGGACTTTTCACTTGACTGGCCAACAGGCTCCTCATCTACTTGCTTCCCCAGACCCCTCCCCCCATCCGCCCTAGCCCACTGTCTCAGCGCCAGGCGCGGCCAGCCCACTCCACCTCCTGAATCCCAGGTTGTTAAGTGAAGTACAGGCATCCTCACCTTGATCTCCGCCATGGAAGTGGAAGGTGTCGTTGCTACAACACTAGAGTCGTTCTCTTCACTCTCTCCCCCGCCACGGCTTTAGCGCTGAATTTCCTACGAGTCGCCCTCCACTCCCGCTTTTACCTCATTCCCGCAGCCCGCTTTGTCGTTGCCGCAAGGCGTGATGGGAAACGGCTACTTTACCTCAATCCCTTTAGCTCTTACAGGGCTACTGACTATCAGAGGCAGGGTGAATCCGTCTTCTGACATAAGCCGGCCGGGAAACTTTCGCAGGATCCCACTGGAGGTGTCGGAAATACCACGAATTCCTGCCGAAAAATGTACAACATCGCTCGGTTCCGCGCCGACTCTAAAGATAATTCGTCGCTAAGGAACTACTGTATGCGCCCAGTTAAATAGTTTTACCCCATTCCCCGAGCTGTTTCCCCATCAACCTTTGCGACATGGCACTGTCTCTACACAAAATGGCTGTAGCGTCACAAACAGCTTCCTCAGAATTTCATACCTAGTGTTTACTGAGCATGCTCATAGAATCATAGACCCATAG